TAAAGATTAAAAGAAAAAACAACAAGAAGCGTACAGAACCGAAAACCGTGACCCTAAAACCGTGATACAAACCGAACCGTGGGTTTTGTGAACCGTGCCACCCCTAAAAGCAATATATTGCATTAAAATATATTGTTCATGTAAATCTCAATATATGAAAAGCGGCAATTGTTTATGTATTTTCCAATACATTATAATATATGAAAACATATATGTATTCAATACATTTTCTCATATATTATAGGAGTAGGCATATTTTTTTATTTTATTGAGATATTTTACTTTGTGGCATGAATACTGCAGTTTCTGAATACATTTCCATAACTTTAGTTGCATAGAAATGTTCAAATTGTTAGTATATGTCCAATGTTGTTAAGCAAAATATATTGAAATTTTCATATATTTAAATATATTTTTGTTTCGTAAGGGTCGTTTCCAGCTCGGGTCTGACTGGGGTCCAGATGTGGTCCCGGCGAGGGATGGCTTGTGCTAACTCCACAGAAATGCTGTCTTTGGGGTCTCTCTTGGTTTGTGCTGTTTTTCCCCTACTATCATGCAGTAGGCTTGAGACAGACACTCCACGTTACACCCTCTCCTGCCTGCATTCCTTCTTGTTTTGTTATTCACTCTACTTGGCTTCACAGCTCAGTTACAGGACTTTTTTCAGTCTGTTTCCACAAGTTGTTGTTTTATAGTTATTGTATGTGTAATATAAAAATGCTGTTTATGAAGGGCATGACTGTCCAGTTTATTTAAGCTCATCATTTATTTTTGGTTATGATTCTGCATATTCTGTTAAAAAGTTTGGGGGTCAGGGGCAGTCTTTGGTATTGCCTCGTGAGGGTTGGGATTTGAGAGTGCAGTCAGTGATGAGAACCCGCTGTGATAATGATAATGTGTGGTGTATCTCCGCTCTGTACCAGGGCTGTGGAGCTGGTAGTCTCCTTCTGGGGGAGGGGGAATTCTTACAAATGGTGTAGGGGGCTGTTTGACTTAGACTACAAGCTGCGTTGCTAATGACCTTTTGGGCTAGGGGTAGCCTGCAGCATTATTGGTTGTTGCCTGGTGCCTGTCCAATGATGATATTGGTAGCTAATTACACACTGCCCTGGCACGGTAGGGGTAACGCCGGCCACTATGCCCCCTGCCTTCATCTCGGGCTTGCGTTTAATGTTCCTGCTTCATTTTGATGAGGGACCCGCTGTGTTTCTAGGGAAACTGTAATGCCAGCCTTGGCATGCTGGCACTTATCACCATTAATGTCCTGGAGGGGTGGGGGGTTGCAATGAGAGAACATCAGTACGCAGCCTCAGGCTCCTCCATTCTGCAGCTCTGCGGAGTGCGTTGGTGAACACTTCTGTCCCGACAGTGTCAGGAGGGGCAAGCAGATACTTCTAGAGGGTGCTGGCCTTCGTGCTTATGCTCTTTACAGATACAGAAGTTAAGACACACATCAGTAAATGCTTAGGACCCTAACAGAGCTGAGCCTCTTTCACTTAATGTTAGCTGTTAACTTCATCGCTAAAACTGGGGGTTTGAGAGTATGCTGGCTGTCTCGCAGGCCTGTTCTCCCCTGGTCTTGGCTTCAGAGGCAGTGCTGCTCTTCCCCGTTGTTACTTCCGGATGAAGCTTTTTAGTCAGGCCATGAAATTCTTTCGCCTTTTTTGCCTTTATTGTAGGAAAATGGAAATGAGGATACTGTGTTTTATAGAAATGGCCAGTGAATCCTGGATGGCAGTTTAGTGTTTCTTCCCCCTGGGGGCTTTCTCTCTGACATGCAAAGGGGGCTGTTGGAGGGAAGCACTCATTTGCAGGGCCCAGATCACTAAACATCCATCAGCAGCTGAAAGGCTGACATTCCAGTTCGCATTTTGGGTGCCAGACTGCAGTCGATGGACGGTGGCTTATTTGGAGCTGTCACAGGGTGTGGCCTCAAACAGGAAGGCCTCCAACTAGATGCAAAAAACACAGATGAGCATCATTGTCCCCGAGATGCGAAGCTGCGTTAGAGGAGTAGGGAGGAATTATTTTAACATCCCGCCATCAAGCTCTGGGCCTTGATCCCAGGGCCCTGCATTGGTTAATCGGCTGCCATGCTTCTTGCTGACTCTGGATTCTGTCTTTGTTTTTACAGCATTTCCATGGAGTTGCATATTTTCCCCAAGTCCCCAGTGCACAATGCTGGAGGACTGCATTTTGAATTTATACCTTTTGGGGTTTTGTCTTTTCTTGTGCTCCGTTCTTGTTCCTGTCCAATCAGGAAAGTGGCAGCTAGCCTGTCAGTGAGTGATAAGTGACTTTGTGGCAAGATGCTCTTTCAAGGAAAATTGGTCTCCTGTTCATTTGCCTGAGGAAAGTAGCTGTGTATAACCAAAAAATCAGCCTCTGTGATTATTGCACAGTGCTGCAGAACTCAGGTCCCCATGGTACTAGGTGTGGGGTTCCTACTCCCCTGGTCCTGAAGATTTATGCCACAGTGACACCGCAGGCATCGCACTTTGGGGGAGATGTTTCGCTCCTGTTTACAGAAACTCCTTTGCGCTTCTTCAGTTCAAAGCATGGGTCTGTGTGAAAGGCACCATGTGTGTCATTAGCTCTGTCCTCTGGAGGATGCTGGGCATATCGCATGGCTGAATAGTCCTGTCTCTTGGGAAAGAGGCTCGGATGAAGATGGAATTTCATGAAAGGAGTACCCGCTCCTGCTAGTGAGGAAACTGTAATATATGGATATATACATGCTATATGTCACGCCCCGCTCCGTCCGCTCCCGATGTGTGCCACGCCCACCTCATTACCTTCTGTTTCGCCCTAATTGTTCCCACCTGTAGCTCGTTCTGTTACCTAGTCTTGTGTATTTAGTCCGAGTCTCAGTCTGTATTCCCCAGATCTGTCATCGTTGTATGGTCCGTCGTTGTCTGCACCTGTCCTTTTACCTATAATAAACCCTGCACTGGACCTTTTGGCTTCATTCGCCTGCTTCCGTGCTCGCGTTCCATCCCGAAGCTGACACTATATATATGTGTAATAAATTAGAGTAAATGAGTGTGCTGAAATGTAAACTGCCATATGTTAATGCTTGCTCAGGTAGGTCTTTGCTACTGGCAGGAACTGTGTGCAGTGGAGTTAATTGTTTTTTGAGATCGGTGATTTATGAGACTGCCATTGATGGTCCTGTGGTTTATTAACAGAAGCCTACTAATTGACAGCCAATTATAAATTAACAAAACAGTGCCATTACCTGATCCTTCCCTAGTGTTAAAAGACCTAAAAAAATTTAAATGATGTTCAAAAGGGCCCCGAATAAAGTCTTGCATGGCTAACTTTCTTCAATGTGAGTATATCTTTCTAATGAAAGCTTGCATAAATTGCCTTGTATGATTGTTCTTGGAATGCAACAGTTTAGTGTCTGTGGTTCTTGATGTATTGTAAAGGTAACCATTAGATTTTTAATAAGGAAAGTGTCTGTGCCACCTGAAATGTAGAGGCTGCACCTTTGGAGATGTCACGCCGATCGACCCTGTGACCTGTCGGGGATCCAGCAGCATTGCCATTTTCCTCATTGTTAAAAAAGTGAATGACATTGTCCAATGGTAGAGGTGGCCCTGATAGACTTGTCCTCATTGGCTACCCCATGGCTCACTATGTTAGTCAAGAAGGACCAACAAACTTCTTCCCCTTATAAATATCTTCACTTTTTGTCCCCTAAAAGATTCTGGCAATCAGAACTGTTTATTCTAAAATGTGAGCTGATGTCCAGGCCCTCCCTGAGATTCTAACAACTACAGCAGCTACCCCATTTGCATGAACTAAAGATGAGTGTGTACTGGGAGCTGCCAGCCTTGTTCTGGGCCACTTGTGAAATGCTCCAGTCCCTAACTGCTGTTTTCCCTCCTACTGCAGGTGCTATAGCAGGTATCTGGGGCATCCAGAGGAGATGCAGAGACTGTGAGCATGAATCGGGCCTTCAACAGGAAGAAAGGTGTGTGCCCACGTGGCCTCTCCAAAGGCAGCATGGTTGTAGTGAGATTGCAACATCCCGCTCTGGGTTTCCTTTTGATGTACAGCATTGTCTGAAGGCCGCCCCACCATACTGTACTTCCCACCTTCTCATCTCTCAGCCAGGCGGTGCAGACTGTCAGTGGTGCGAGCTCAGTCCTTTTCATGATGGGCATTAGGGGATGCGGTTTTTTGGCATAAGCTGCATCGCTTTGTTGTTTTTAATGTGTAATGTCTCCCCACCTTGTGGGTGGGTGTTTTGCTGGATCAGTGTGATCCCTGGGGCCCCATGTGTCTGTACATGGCGCCTGGCTCCTCCCTTCTGTGATATAATGGACAGACATGGTAGGCATTCTGTAGTCCTGCCTCTGAGAGACTGGCATTTGTAATGGAATAGCTGCATGAGATAAATAGTCCATGGGATGTTGAAAAGCTGGAGGAAAATACTAAATAGGCCCAATTAAGGACTGTGAGGCCTGTTGTTCACACTGCTCCCTGCTGTGCTCTACCTTGTATGCAGTTGTTGTTCTTTATAAAATGGCTCTTCTATTCTGTATGGAGAGAGTGTTATAGCAGGTTGAGCTTTCTGATTAGGATTTTTCCTTTTCCCATATGACATGATAATGGAGTTGTCAATATATTGAACAGCACTTTTTAAGGATGTTTTCCCCAGGATGGTGCAATTTACTTTGCTCTTTTTCTGATCAATGCTCCTGTAGCACTGTGCTATGCATGATCAGCTGGATATACAACAGAATGAGTAGATAATGCATAGGTTGCTCCCAGCCAGACCTGCTTCCAGCCAGGCACGTTTTCAGCTGGTGTCAGCACTGGCAATCGCTGATCTCTCAGAGAACTCCCCCCATACCTCCAGCTGTTCAGGGGAGACGCAGGGAGTGGGATGCAGGAGGCCTCTAGCACCTAAACACCCATGTGCATTTCGTGTTGCGGTGCTTAGGACAGAGATACACTGCTGTGTTTCTGTGCCAGGACAGGCCAGCACAGACACCCATGGCGTGCATTACCAGCATGCTCTGTGATAAAGGTCACGGTAGCATGTCTGTAATGTTTTGGGGAAATGCCTTCACTGTTGTGCCCCATGAAGGTCAACTAGACAGCAGCTGCTTTGAGAGAAAGATCAGGCAATGAAGAAGCTGTGAGAGCAGTGAAAGCCAGATCCGTGTGAGATATTGTCACCTGCCCTGCTGAAAATGCCACATTCAGCACTACAACCCTCATAAATACACGATAATAAAACCCACCTGCTGATTATGTCTGCTACAGCAGTGTTTTGATAGTTCTGATTAATTTGTTAATTCTGTACTCTTTATGCATTCTAGAAGAAAAATAAAACTTTTGCAGGCTAAAATTCCCATTCTTTACCAATCAGACTTTGTAGAGTAGGGCTAAGACTAACTGGAATATGGAGAGAGCCATCCTCTCCGCTGTCTCTATGAGAGCTGACCCTCTATGCCTGTCCCACAAGAGCCATCCTCTCCACTATCCCAGTGAGAACCGTTCCTCTCCATTGTCCCCGTGAGAGTCGTCCCTTTCCACCTGGCCCCCGTGAAAGCCATCCTCTCCACCTGTCTCCGCGAGAGCTGTCCCTCTTTGCCATCCTCATAAGAGCCACCCCTCTCCACCTGTCCCCGCAAGAGTTGTCCCTCTTTGGCGTCCTCATAAGAGCCACCCCTCTCCACCTGTCCCAGCGAGAGCTGTCCCTCTTTGCCATCCACAAAAGAGCCATCCCTCTCTACCTGTCCCTATGAGAGCTCCCCCTGTCCTCATGAGAGCCATCCCTCTCTGCCCGTTCCCATAAGAGCTGTCTTGTCTGCCTGTCCCCACGAGAACCATCCTTTCTTTATGTTGTGCACAGGGTGTGGCCTTATTGTATACTGCTTGGTCTCATTAAATTCTGCCCCCTCTTCTCTCATGTGTTTCTTTATGGTTAGGCTGGTAAATAGCACAGTGCCCTTCTGCAGGGACATAGTCTTTCTCTCAAACAGAATGCTGTGTTAAATTGCTCAGTGTTTTGAGCCTCCACACTGAAGTTCTGGTGACCTTTCACATTTTATGTTGAGGGACACTGGCTCAATTTACTGGAGACAATGTCTGCTCTATAGTTTTCGCTCCCCTTACCTCGCTGGTTATGGTTATATGGGCACCCCCACAATCATTCTCATGTGCAGCTGCTCTGGCCCTCGTCTCTCCTCATGGTCAAGTGAGCACAGCAGCCTGGAAGGCGCTGCGCTTCTCCTCTCAGCTGGCCATGATTTGTGAAAAGCTGAGGCATCGTGGAGCTTAGCTCCCTCTGCTAAGCTGTCAAATGGCAGCATCAATGGCTGTGAGAAAATTTAAGGACAGCTATGATTTCATGTTTTATCATTCCTTGAAAGAATAATTAACATTAGTTTCCAAATTTGACCTTTAAGACAGTCAGTCATTCTAGGCAGCAGCTGACAGTAGTAAAGGTGAGGGTTGCTGACCTTTGCTGTGCTGGAAAATACCACAGCAGTGCAGATGGATTAGCATAAGTGAAGCGTATCTCCAGAACATAATTAAGCATAAAACAAGGTACCGTGAATTTCATCCTGACAGTTCCATTTCAGATGCCAAACAAGGATGCTTCAAGGCATGGTACATGTTCTTTCCCTTTATTGAGGTATAGGATCACACATGTACATATGACAGAGCTTAAATTCCAGGTGGCCTGACACAAAGCCTAGCCTGGTACGAGAGGTGACATTGGCCTAAGCACCAAAGGGGGGTTGGTGACCCACACTATTAAACACACACATACCACAGATAACAAGGGAGGCCAGTACTCCAAGTTTTATTGCCCAAAGATTTAGGGACCTCCGGACAGCAGAGTGGACCTCAAGGATAGGGGTCCTTCGACTTGGCACGCAACCCCCTCCCCATACATCCTGCTTTACATACCACTCACCCAACACCCTAAAGAAAGTTTCTTCTAAGTCAGCTTTTGTATACACCCTGTGCGTTCTGGCTACTAAGCTCTGAAACCTCAAACTCACCTGAAATATCGCGAGACTCTCTCTCATCGGCCGTGAGGGGAGCTTTGCTACCGATCGTTTACATTACCTGGTGATGCAGCTCGCTGGACGAACCTTCTAACCCAGGTTACTAAGTGATACTGGTAATTAGTGAATCCCACGTAAGTCTCACATTAACAGACTCACGGGGATTCCACAATTGTGTTTGGAGGAACCAACCATTCGGCATAACAAATAATTAATAATCATCGTTAAATAATAATTAAGTAAAATTTAATTAATTTCAAAACATATTGGTGGAGATATTAAAATTTACCTGAGCTAGTAATTCCTACAGAGGTTTGATTGCAAGTACCTTCCTTTGAGTGCAATGCTGGCCTGAAAGTGGAGAGCTCGCCCAGATGCATTATGACTCCTGTTTCTGGGGCCGGTTCTTCATGCCCTGTCATTCTGAATGAACTAGCAAAGGTTCCCCTGTAGTTCGGAATCCCTTGTGCTTTATATATAGGTCTTAACTGCAGTTTTTCACAGTGAGTGTTAAGGCACACAACATGTAATGAGCTGGGCAAGCCTGTGGCTGTAACCTTAGCACACGTGTCGTATGTGTTTCTGTTATCCTGTGATGTCTGGATTCTTACGCATGTGAATGTGTGTATGGGTCCTTCACCATCATCTCAGACATCTCACGGTATCTGAAGAAGTGCAATTACACAGAAAGAGAATGAGGAGTGCAATTACTCTAAAAGAGATGGTACCCTATGAGGGGGGTCCTAAGGAAAACACTCAATGCCCTATGTCGTCCTTTTGATTGTCTGATTAACCGCCTTTCATGTTTTTACAGTTGACAGTCTCTTGAAAACCTGTGTGTGGGTGTGCCATTCAGGAATATAGTGTAGAATGTCTTAGCCCTTATTGCTGAATGTACCCCGTTCTGAAATGTCTCTCTGACCCTCTGAAATAATATCTATTGATGTTGCAACAGCATCAGCGAAAATCGCCACTCAATATAAGATTCTAACAGGTCTAAATGCTGTTCAGCCAAATAGTTACTTCAATATTAGTTTAAATACTAGAACTCATAACCATAGCTGGAAATTAGTGGGAGAATATTTTAAAATGAATTTGAGAAAGCACTTCTTTACACAGCGTGTAGTTGGAGTATGGAATAGACTTCCTGTTAGTGTAGTGCAAGCTAAAACCTTGGGTTCCTTTAAATCACAGCTAGATAAGATTTTAACAACTCTGAGCTATTAGTTGAGTTCTCCCCAAACGAGCTTGATGGGCCAAATGGCCTCCTCTCGTTTGTAAATTTCTTATGTTTTTATATTTTCAGTAGTGACACTTTATTCATTCCCATGGGGAAATCTGTTTTTTTTTCACGCATTCCACATTGCTCTCCATGAGAGACACAAGGACACACACACAGGCACAGAAAGACACTGTACATACAGGTGAGAGAAAGCTTTTCGGTCAGAGCAAAGGATCAGTTATTGTCCGGCAACCCTCATGTAGCTGGTTATGGGCCTTGCTCAAGGGCTCAAACATTACATGATTACTCTGTATCTGGATCTGAACCCACAACCTTCTGATCATGGGCATCAGGCCAACATATGATAGTGGCATTTTTATCAGGGTTATAATTAATTTCAGCAATTTTTTTGGGATAACTGATCTTTTTAATGTGCTGCTCTGAGCTAGAATGGTGCCCAGCTGCTGTTAATCAGCACAAGGGTCAGGAGTCTCTGTCCTGTCTGTGAGCCCAAGTTGCCCCTTGAGAGGCTTGGCATGCTTTTGAAGTAGCCCATCTTTATATGTCCAGTGTTGTCTCGTCCACTTCCCTGACCAGGATGCCATTTCTTCCAGATAAGTCATGGATGCACACTCCAGATGCCCTGGCAAAGCACCACATTGCCTACTACACCAAGGTAATTCCTTCAGCGCCTCCAGGGACTGGGTAGTGTGTCACAAGTGTCTTAAAGCCTCTTGACATTTATTATTAGTTCTATTTTTGAATTTATTTTCTTGGTGTACAGATTAAGCTGCAGATACTTAAAACTATAGCTTGGTATGACCTGGTTCGCCCCCCCCCCAAGTCATGCAGGAGTAGGCCACAGAGACCCACAATGATGTGGCTTATTTACCCTGGCGTCCTTCCTGTTGTGAAAGATGTCCGCACCATATCCCTTGTGTGTTCTGTACACTCTGTTATGCTCCGGGTACTGTGAAGAACCATGAATCTGACACCACAGCAGGTGTCACTGGTCTTTTTCCCCATAAGTCCTCTTCCCCATGAGTTCCTGCTGAGTAGAACAAGCTTCATTAGGTACACTTGACAAGTACCAGATAGAACCCACTTTAATAGGCACACCTGGTTAGTACTGGTCAGGACCCACTTGTGTCTCCAGAACCATGTGTTGTTCACAGAAGCTTTCCCGCATGCCACTGTTGCACTGAGCTGTTATTTTTGCCCGTTTGACATTCCTGTTAGCTTCGAAAGTCTGACCATTCTCGCCTGACCGCTCTCATTAACAATGTGTTTTCACAGACAAAATTGCTACTGCGTGGATGGTCATCATGCTGTTTTCTTCAAATACAACTCTGTAGGAGGAGGGTGACTAGACACTGCACCAGGGAGGCTGTTTCTGGCACCAAAAATTACATTATGTTTAAAATCACTTAAATCTGGCTTTTTACCCATTCTGATGCAGCCTCTTGGCCCTATGTACTGTACAGTATGTGCTGCACTACCCAATAAACTGGCCTACGAGTGTAGGTTTAAACAACTCTGACTGGCACTGCTAGATTCTGCTGCTTTGCTCTGTGGTTGTTTCTCTGAATAGTATAATATTACCTGTTGCTGATGGCAGCTTTATACATCATGTGGCCGTTTCCTGTAAAGGAACTGCAGCTCAGCTCAGTTTTTGGAAGTATCATCAGAGATCCTGGCACACCGAGTTGGGATGTCCTGTGTTTGCAGGTTCCTGAGGAGGGAATAATCCCCCCCCCCCCCCCATGAAGGAGCTCAAAACTGCTGCTAACTGCCTGCTCCTTTCACATCCTCCACAGTTCCTTGGGCAGACAGAGGTTGACCAGCCAAAGGGCACAGAGGTGGTTAAGGATGCAGTTCGAAAGCTCAAGGTAAGTTCAAGATGGCCTCCTCTGGGAGTAAGATGAAAGCCTGCTCAGTTTTGATTGGCTATGAATGCATAAATGTTAAAACCGCCTTATTCTTTATATGCAAACAAAGGTTTGTTAAAGCAGTGTTTTAAAATCTACTTAGTTAGGGTGACCAGATAATCCATGTCATCCCGGACACCTTGAGCTACTTCAGGTTTTACAAACTACCTTAAAACCGAAAGGCTCCTGTGCTTGGTTAAATAGTTCAGTTCTTCTTGTGCTTTGACAGGTTTGTTTCTTTGACTGAAAGACTCATCCAGCTGTTTCACATTAACATTAGTGACACGTGCATGATTATAGGAGACTGACCAATCAGCACACAGCAAGAACTCGGTACTTAAGTGAAATGCAGGTCCTTTTAAATGAAATGGTAGGTTACAAATCCTGACCTAGCTCAAAGTGTCCGGGATGACATGGATTATCTGGTCACCCTAACTTAGTGCTCCTGGGTTTGTTTGGTCAGTTTGGGTCATTCTGAAAAGCAAGGAGTGTGTTTATCTGCTGTGCTCAAAGGATTGAGGTCACCTCAGAAATAGAGATGTACCTGGGAACATTTTAGCAAGCCTGCAATGATGACAGACAGCTTGCTTGGTGAGTTGGACACCCTGAATGCTGCCATGGGCTTTCCACACAGGACATCAGATAGATAGCAATAAGCCCATAGATAGTAGAACTACCTTCTGTTACTGCTATGATTCCTATCAGATGTAAGGACTCGCAAATGTATCATGATGGTGCTGGTGGACGTCACATGGCCGCTTTATGCTAAAGAGATAGCATTGATAGCTGTGCTGTGAGCGGCCCGTGTATGAAAAGAGTCGACAGAATGTCATTATTTTTACCCTCTACAGCTGAGCTCATGGACTGGATTTTGGACATCTTTGATGCTTTGTGTATAGTGTCCTTTAACAAGTGCATGCCGTCTTGCAGAGTTGTTGAGGAGGAAATTATCATCACATTAAGCAGCCTGAGTGTGAATTTAGTGCCTTGGCTATAGGAAGAGTGTAGCTACCTCATGCTATTCAACACGGACCAGAGGGGGGCACTCTAGATGCACCTCTGTTCGCTCTCCATGGTGCGCCATCCATCTTCATCCCTCGCTTCTGCTGTCATTCCCTTTGTTCTTAGCTTGCTTCCCCATTTTCTTTCTTGTTATCCCCACCTCCTGTCTGATGCCTCCTGCCCATCTTCTTTGTGGAAAATCCCCCCTTAATACGCTGTTTTCAGAAAGGTGAGCTTTTAAAGTAATTCTGGGAGACGCAGCAGTTGTCTTTTTAATTTCTTATTTTGTGGATGACTGTTGTGCAGTTGGCCAAAGCGGCGAATTTCAGCCAGCACAAACCGGATAATCCTCTTTAATGACTAATCCTCTTCATTTACTGGATGCTTGTCCTACTACAGTTTCAAAGGCACATCAAGAAATCTGAGGGCCAGAAAATACCTAAAGTGGAATTACAAATCTCAATTTATGGAGTAAAAATATTAGATCCCAAAACAAAAGTAAGTTTTACTTGCTTAATATTTAAGTCTTGCATGCTTGATTTCTGTGAAGAACACACACAAACACACACAAACATAATTATATACACCACAGCATAATCTGTATGTTTTACTGACCATTATTTTAGATTAACCCTAACTAACGGGCTGCTTCAATGCTCTTCCAGGATGTGCAGCACAACTGCCAGCTGCACAGGATATCATTTTGTGCTGATGACAAAACCGACAAGAGGATATTCACCTTCATCTGCAAGGACTCTGAGTCCAACAAACATCTCTGTTACGTGTTCGACAGTGAGAAATGCGTAAGTGGCTGTCATGGTCATAAGGTGTTCATCATGTCTTGCTCGCTGTGTGTTTGCTCCACTGTTGTGTGTCATCACAGGCTGAGGAGATCACTCTGACCATCGGCCAGGCCTTCGAGCTGGCCTACAAGAAGTTTCTGGAGTCTGGGGGGAAGGATGTAGAGACGAGGAAACAGATCGGAAGCCTGCAGAGAAGAGTAGGGGCATGTAATATTGCCCTGAGTTGGACTGCACCGTGGACGTCTGTTGCTGGGTAACACCTTTCTATTTTGTCCTTTTTTTCCACAGATACAAGAACTAGAGACAGAAAACTCTGAGTTGAAAAAGCAGCTTCAGAGTCTTCAGGAGCAGCTGATGTTTGCTCAGGTGTCCTCAGTATGTGTGGGGAAGAGTGATGGTCTGCATTTCCGTTCGCTCGCAGGGCTCACTAACCCATCTGTTATCTCTCCTAAATGCACTGTCTGCTCTTTTTACAGCTTTTGCACCTAAACCCTACTAACGACGCATTTGTGCTGGAAAGGCCCTCGTTGCTGTGGTGGTGCCACAGCCGACCATTGCTGTCCTGTTTAGAGATGTCATCTGTCACGCTCACTCCCCTGGGCTCTCCAGACTCCAGCCTGAGCAGGGAGCCACTCGCCATGCCTCCCGTAACTCCCATCTCTGTCCATTTGTGCACTTCAGCCCATAGGTATGGTGGCCGAGAGAGCTCAACACGCTGCAACTTCAAGAAAACACATGCAAACATAAAAAAACACAACAAATTAAGAAAACGTCTCCATCAGTTTGACAACACAGGCGCTGCAAATACGGAAACGCGCTGCAAACACAGGAATGTGCAGCAAACACAAAAAACGCGCTGCAAACACAAAAAACGTGCTGCAAGCACAAAAAAAGCGCTGCAAATAGCAGGCACCACAACGGAAATGTTTCAGGGGGACCTCAAAAAGTGACGAACCCATCTGGGAGCTGATTATTTGTTCAGTGGCTTTTGGTCAGAGTGAGGTGTTGTGCGTGAACTAAAAGGTGTTTTTTTTTTTTAACAACCTGATCATACGATTCATTGGTCTTTTGGATATTATTAGACTAATCTGACGAATCACACACTTAACTGTGGAACGTTATTAATTTAATTGCCAATAAATATCTAAATAAATATATGCAAATAAATGACAAAATTCTGCAGTGCTTCATTAATGGTTAAAATCAGGTCAAAATTCATTATAGATTGATGGAAAAAAATATATTTTACAATTTATTCAGACCCCTTAATAATAATGAACAACGGAATACAAATAAAGCATGCTAAAATCCGTAACATTGTTATTTTTTTTTTTTTTTTTTCCAGATCAAAATGTATTGTCCGTTCTGTGGCTTTCAGCGGCCAACTTTGCACAAATTTTGTAGCTCATGTGGGCGAAATGTTAGTTTTGTCATGGAGAATGCCCCTAAACCTGCAGGTGAGTACCAGGTGTCATGCCAGGCTGTGCCCAGAGGTAATATGAACAAATAATCAGCTCCCAGATGGGTTCGTCACTTTTTAAGGTCCCCCTGAAACATTTCCATTGTGGTGCCTGCTATTTGCAGCGCTTTTTTTGTGTTTGCAGCACGTTTTTTGTGTTTGCAGCGCGTTTTTTGTGTTTGCTGCGCGTTCGTGTGTTTGCAGCGCGTTTCCGTATTTGCAGCGCCTGTGTTGTCAAACTGATGGAGACGTTTTCTTAATTTGTTGTGTTTTTTTTATGTTTGCATGTGTTTTCTTGAAGTTGCAGCACGTTGAGCTCTCTCGGCCACCGTACATAGGGGCCCCCAGGTCGCCTGGCTATGGGAGGGAAACCGCAATCGGTGACCCAACACGTGCAACGTGCACAGTTAAGCTTCAATTGGCCAGGATGTGCAATGGTGGAGTTTTACTGGTTTTCTCTGTAGGTTTGTTTCAACAAGCTGCCTCCCCCAGCAGAGTGCTCCAGAGCCTGCTGACTATTCCGTGTCACAGTCGCATGTCATAGGCGTGTTCAAAAAGGACAGCATGTACGCCTGCCTGTGTTCACGGTGTTGGAGTAAGCCCCTTTCAGGGTGTCCCCTCACGCATGTGTCTTCTGTTCCTGTAGGCAGGCTGTATCTCTCCCAATTCTCCCTCCACTGATATTTTTGACATGGTGCCCTTCTCCTCTGGCACCATCCTGGCTCCAGTACCTGCCAGCAATGGTATGAAGGCAGCCAAGCTTCAAGAAAGGTCCTCTAAGCCCTGTGAGTGTGTACCAGGTCCCATGTGTCAGAGATTCTTGCTTGTTTAAAGCAACAGCTGTGAACCACACATCCCACATTTTTTTCTCAGTTCAGTCACCGTACTGTTTATTATTCAATATTATTATTCATTTTTATTGTTCATCATTATTTTTCATTTTCATCTACTTTCCCTGTCAATGCATAGGGACCAAAGTTGGCCACTGAGGTAGAATATTTGATAGTGTTTCTTTCCCAGCATTTGTGAAACCAAGGCTGTTCCTGGGCTTTGTTTTTCCAGATTCAGGGAAGGACCTTTTTGGAGCTGAGCCCTTTGACCCTTTCATATGTGAAGCGTCAGACTTCCCTCCAGATATTCAGTCCAAGCTGGATGAGATGCAGGTGACGCACCATTGATTGTGGTTGGTTTGTTGTTGGGTAGCTCAGTGTGAAAGCTTGCAGGATGGTAATATGTGACATGAAACTGCTGGCTGTCGGCCTCTAACATTCTCAGCCTGCTGGCATGAGATGAAACAGTGAGCTCTAGTCTATACAGCAGAATAACTCCACACTGAATGGATCTGCTGTTTAAACAGCATGATTTGCTGTGAGTAAGATGTCTGTCAGTCTGCTTTCTCTCCCGCTTTCTTGCTCATCCTCCTGATCATGTCTTTCTTCTGCTCTCTTTCCCTGCCAGCGGCAGAGATGGTTTGTACATGTTTATTTCTCTTGAATAAAGCTAGTGGACTATTAGCTATCGTCACTGATCGTCACTGAATGTTTCAGCACTTATGTCTTCACTTTGGTGCTTCTTTCACCCATTTGTGTTTGTTTGTTTATAAAGTGCTTAATGATTAGGTCCCAAACCTCTCATTAAAGAGGCAGTCTGGTATATACATTTTGCATTATTGGATAGTGTTTTATGAAATGTTTGTTTTCATACTACTAACCTGCATGGTCACTGTACAACAAGTTCCCAGTCTCTCCTCTGTCCTGCGCTGCCTTTGGACCATTACTGGGCTGTTACTGAGCCATCATTGGGCCCTCACTGAGCCATGGCTCAGGAGAATTGCAGGATTGGGCTGCTCATGTGCATTTCTGTTATGCTATTATTAAGACTGACTCTGCTGTAAAATGTCATTGTGCCCTGTTACTGTCCCCCGTGTCTTGTCACTATCATTATCCTCTCTACACATTTTTCTGTCTTTGTGTTCTACTGTATGCAAGAGCTATCACATGAACTCCTCACTGACTGAGCAAAATGCAGACAGGGTCCATTGACAGCTTCTGCTGTATGTTAATACTGTTTTTCATAAAGAACATAAGAACATAAGAACTATACAAACGAGAGGAGGCCATTCGG